TTTTTCGTCGCGTTATTATTCCATTATCATTACCACCGACCTTTGGCGGCGGTGACGGCACGGCGCGTTACAATTATCTTTCCCGTCCTCGTCGCCGGGCGTTGCAGCACGCGCTCGTTTCACCATCGGTTCATGAAAACAAACGTAGCCGAAACGATCAATTTCCGCGTGCTCGCGATATTATATTTTTCTCTCCGCTCGGGCCGGGCTACCGCCGCCGACACGAGCCACGCATCGATAACGTTGCCACCGCCCCTACCCGGCACTAACGACGCCTCCATCGTCACCACCAACCCCTCGCCACCACCCCCGCCGTCGAAGCTGGACGACAAGATTGTCGCGCGATTCACGCCGAGTCCGCGGCACTCTCTACGCGCTACCGAATCGCATGTCGTCGCACTCGGTTGTCAGCTTTGAACAACACGACGGTCGTAGTTGACTTGCATGTCACGATGTCGAAAGCATCTTCGTAACTTCACGACCGAAATCCGTTTACCGAACATGATTTTTCGAATCCTATCCAATTGCGACCGGTGTTGAATGTGTGGTCTCCCGTTGTAACAACACGACAAACGCGCTGAAAACGGTTTCGTATTCGATATTCAACGTCAAAGAATCCGTCGATCAATAATTTTAAAATGTGAAATATTATTCGGGTTATCACATACATTTTAATATTCTTAATCGAGTATTGGGTTCCTTTAAACCATTATATTTCCTATACCGAAATTTTCTTAAAGCAGTCGACAAATTCAATTCGGTTTCGAAATTATTTTTGTACGTTTCAAGTTTCATGATCCTCGTGATTACGTTCTACAGAATAATGATGCCTTGTCGTCGTCTCTAAGATTTTGTTATTTATTTATCATCGTTTACCAGCGAACCCTTCTTTTGGTACGATTTTGCGGACATGGTGTCCGCAATTAATGATTAACCGGACTGACGACGAACCACTCGCTAGTTAAACTGTCGCGATAGGACACCAAAATTTACGTTAATATAGGGCTGTGAGATTGCTATGCCCATGTATGACCGTATAATAGACCTATATAGCAGCGAAAGCGAAACGAATTATTCCGTATTCGTCTACGAATCGTTTCTGGTGTGGAGTTGGCCTTTGTTATGTCGACTTAAATGCCCACTCGTGAACATCACGTAGAACAAAGGATCGTGGTGTCACTGCTGTCGCGCCCTCGTTCATTTATAAGTCTTCAACGATTTTGCACGCAATATTGTTTTTTTTTATTATTATTATAAGTACCTTCCCCTCCCCCTACCCGTACGTCATTGAGTAAAACGCTTCAAAGACATGCGATCTTTGACACCGTGTCGAATGCTCGTGCAATCGTCAACAGGTAGTGTTTTCGTACGTACATTGTAGTGGATGTACAAGCCGCACTGGATTCCAAATGTTAACATTGTTAATAATAACTTGAATTGCTGTGTGTTTGATAGTTAATTCTGATCAGAATAATGTACGTTATCAAAAAAATTGAACGTGGTAATCGTTTGAAATTTTCTTAGCGGAACCATAGATCTACATGACATCAACTGGTATTACAGTAATATACGCGAAGCACATTGGTGCGTAACACCTGCACCCATTTTACACGTTCCGTAGGGTTAGATAGGTTCGGCTGTTTGCCTGTTTGTGTGGACCGTTGCACTTCAGAAGTTTTCCATACCGCAGTAATTGTCTCGGCGATGCCTTGTGATTTAAAATGAAAACGTTCAAAAATCCTCGAACAAACAGACTTCTTTGACAACAAGACGACGATGTTTCTTAATTTTCTAGAATAAAACGACCGCTAAAACAGTTGACCGTCTTATGTACCCAAACATGACGATTGCACGTAGAAATTCACAGCAAGAAATATTTTTTTCAATCAATTTATTGACTCATAAATGATTACATACATAATCTAAACCTTACAATTAGTTACATCGATTGAAAATAAATATTATATCAGTTATGAAAGAAATTACAAACAATTTTATTACATTAACTTTGGATCCCTTACATATATTTTATGGGTTATTTCCGTTTTTTTATACTCAACTGCTGAGAGTTATTGGTTAATGTAATTTGTGTACACGAATGAAAAATGAAAAATGTAATCTATGAACATCTATGGATAAAAATATACTCCAGGTTAAAAATTGTTCTTTCGTGTATTCTTGTTAAATTAAATATTAATACCTTTCAATATAATGTATTGAACGGTGTATTTAACGATACAAAAAAGTTTTTTTTTTGTATAGTCTACTGAGTTAATTAATTTACAATTAATTACGATTATAATTATTCAGTAAACGGTTAACCAATTTAAATTTATGTTAACAAAAGTGGGTATACAATGTATAATCACAATATTTCCCTAGCAATAAAAGATACTACAACAACATTACCTGTTCTTTAAAAAATTTCCTTCGCAAACATAACAGTAAGAATTATCAACACTATATTAACTCATCAACAAAAACGAACTTGCTTTGGAGAGCTACAAAAAAAATTCTAAACCAAAAAAATACAATTCCTCCCATCAAATACAACGATAGAACTTTTGCTATTACAAACCTGGAAAAAGCAAATGTATTTGCCTCTCACCTAGAAAATAACTTTTCGCCTCATGCTAATATAAATGACATTGATCACACATCCTTCATAGAAAAATCGTTAACCAATGCTCTTCCGATGTCTCTACCTACAAAACACACCTCCCTCTCAGAAATTCAATTCATTATTAAACACTTACCAAATAAAAAATCACCGGGTCACGATCTTATCACTAATAGTATTATTAAACATCTTCCCAAGAAAGCCCTCTTACTCCTAACCTACATTTTTAATTCAATTCTTCATTTGTCCCACATTCCCCAAACGTGGAAACACTCTATAATAATCCTAATTCATAAGCCCGGTAAGCCACCTGACTCACCTTCCTCTTATCGTCCCATAAGTCTATTATCCTCCCTTTCAAAAATTCTCGAAAAAATTATACTAAAAAGAATTCTTCCAATCATCACAGAAAATAAAACAATTCCCAACACTCAGTTTGGCTTTAGAAAGAACTACTCAGCTCTTCACTAAGTGCACAGAATTGTAGATAACATAGCCTCTTCTCTAGAAAAAAAATATTTTTACCCATCTGTATTCCTTGACGTAGCCCAGGCGTTTGACCGCATTTGGCACAAAGGTCTTCTCTACAAAATGAGATTTTTTCCCGCTCCTCTATACTTAACCCTAAACTCCTTCTTATCACTCCGCACTTTCCAAGTGAGATGTGAAGACGAACTATCCAATAATTATCATATAAAAGCAGATGTCCCTTAAGGTAGCATTCTCGCCCCAACACTGTACAATCTCTATACCGTTGACATACCTCATTCCACCCTCACCAATCTAGCCACTTTTGCAGATGATACTTGCATAAGTTCTTCTGACCAAGACATTAATGTTGCCATCGACAATCTTCAAAATCACTTAAATTTATTACAAATATGGTTCAATCAATGGAGAATAAAAATAAATGAAAACAAATCATCACACATCACATTCACTTTGCGCCCTAATATCAGCCATCCACTAACTTTAAATAACAGCATAATTCCCTTTGTCAACTCCGTCAAATACTTAGGTATTCATCTTGACAAACGACTAACTTGGGCTACCCACATTAAAACTAAAAAAATATCCCTAAAATTAAAACTCCATAGCTTAAAACACCTTCTTCGCTCCAACATCCCATTCAACAATGAAACTCTTATCTACAAACAACTTATTCGTCCTGCAATAACTTATGGCATCCAAATATGGGAATCAACCAAATTTTCAAATCTAAAATTGTTACAATCCTTCCAATCAATAAATTCACGTTTGTTGATCCAAGCTTCATGGTACGTTAGGAACAACACCCTTCACAACGACCTCAAAATTCCCTATCTCTCTGCTTTTGCTTCCACTCACTATAAAAAATTTCACGCCAACACATTAGCTCATTCATATCCACTTATATCTAATCTCTCTTCTCTAACTATTCCGGATAATCCACCCCGACGCTTAAAGCGTAATTGGCCACGCGACCTCCTAAACAAATAAAAAAAATACTAAAAAAAAAAAAAAAATTGAAGTAGTGTTACTGGACGCCCCCTTCATTCAAGCCGTCAAGTCCTGTACATTTTTGTTATTATTATTACTTATTGTATTGTCTATACAGATTGTATATATTCGTTTTCTAAAATAAAATAAAAAAAAGTTACAATATATAGTACATAAATATGTTGTTAATATATAAGTATTTTAAAACTATTACAATAATTATCGATTTTTCTTTATTAGAAATGATAATAGTTTTATATTAATTCTTTATTGATTAGATCAATAATATCGTATGGTCATTAAAGTAGATTGCTATAATAGTCATTGATGCATGTATAACATTGTGTGCACTTTAATAGTACAATTTTTTATTAAAAATATTACAGGATGTAATAAAACTTATCGTAAGTGATATTTTATTCAAACTATTTTAAAATACTCATTAAACCTTTTTTGTATTCCTAAATAATAATTATTTCGGACATCAAATATTTCTGTTCTGATTTCGTGTCATGTATAA